GCAGACAGATATTGAGCAGAGTGAAGAATGACTGCAAACAACCTACAAAAGCTGTGCCGCAGCTTGTAGTTCAAGTGTTATTTACGGTGCCAAATGGAATAAGAGCACAAAGGTGATGATATCTCCACTGCCAGCATAACTTCAATCAATATTTCATGTGCCTCATTTAACAAAAGGATGGAACAATCCAGACTGTTAAAGCTGTTGCTATTCTGAAAGTCCTTTGTGCCAATTTCAGAAAATGATAGAAGCTTATCATATGCCAGGTTTTTGCTGTATTTTTAAGTTCGATGCACTCACGCTCACTATGCTTCAAAAAACGAGAATGTCATTTAATACCATTTTCTTGCTACTAAAGGCTCCAATATAAGAATATCAAGGAGCAACAAAAGGCTTCCTGTATAACATCCACAAAACCTCTGCTCTTAAAGACAGCTATGGTCATTAAATGGCCTGCACTCAGTATCCTGTTCATGTTTGCATGTGACCATAGACTGCATATAAAAAGATTGACACACATTGGTTTTGGACTCTGTGACTTGAAATGATGAAGCGCTAACGTTGCACACTGTTGGTGCTGTTTGGGAGCAGACTACGCACTGAAGCAAGCCACCTGGAACCAAACATAAAATTAACATCCTTTGCAGTTCTGCAGAAGTCCAGGGGCTACTAGAGGCAAAGCAGAGCACTTTTATATATTGGCAAGTAAAAAAAATCCCACTAACAACACTTTTCACATCCCAGTTTAGCAACTTTTACAGCCCTATATCCTCTTTTAAATTACTTTCCACTCAATCAGTGTAAAACAATCACTCTGAATAATCTGTACTTCATTTAATTAAAACATCCACCACATAAGTAGCATAAAATAGAATAGAAGATTACTGCATCCATTCTTTTTTGCTGCCCTTTATAAACATCAGGCTTTCTATGTGTTGTACCAATCACGGTGTTTCCTGCAGTGAGTGATGGTGATTGAAATTCCACAAAGGGCACTGAACAGCCTCCTGCAACTAAATCTGATTTAAGTTGACAAGTGTATAAAATACAATTAAAATTTGTGCATACTATTAATTTTATTTCAATGAAACTAAATACACTGTGACCTCGTGCAACAAGTGAGTGGGATTTACCTTTAAATCCTGCAGATTTTGATGCGCGTCACTCCCTGTCAGAGTGCGACAGAACTGAATGGAGCTCACAATGAAATAAACTGCAGGACGTCAGTCAGTGTTAATGAATAAAAGATGAAAGAAAACTCTCACTGTTCAGACTGTATATTCTAGTAATCCTGCATGTAAATAGTTCTTTTACAGACTCAGGCAATTCAAAGCCTTTTACCCTTCAAGTAACAGTCACCCACACGCATAGTATTTTCATTTTGTACTTAACAAGGTGCTTTCGCCATCACATAAAGATGAAACACATCAAGCTTTTATTTTTAAGGGAGGATTTAACCCAAAGCCCAAAGGTACTGTGACATGCTGACTGGGGATCAAACCACCAACCTCACAATTTATGGACAATCTGCACCACAGCTCCTTAACCAACTGTGGGCTTGTTGGCCCAAATATTAAAAACAGTCCAAATTCTTTCAACCAATAAAATGATCCATGCAGTGCATAAAGTATCGGATAAAGTACCGAGTATTAATCACTCCAGTTGTCTGTGAAAAAAAAAAGATTTTATGAGATCGAGGCGATTCAGAGGTTAACAGCAAATTAGCTAGCTAGGTGACAGCTACAGATGACATGCCTACAGTCAGGAATCTCTGCAGTCGGGTAAAAAAAAACTTAAGTACACCCACACAGCTTCCAAGGGAGTTAAGAGAGTAAGCTACAGGTGCTGCTAGTCACATGCACTTAACCCTCTCAAGGCAGGCGTTGCAGATTTGCAGCAGTTAAACACTAACAACCTGATTACACCACATACGCATTTTATGAGTTTTTTTTACTCAGAAGTACCACTGCAGGACGTGGTTGTGCATTAGCAACTAAAACTTAATTTGAGCCTGAGAGGGTTAACTGATAATCAGCAAGTGTGAGCACCTGTGTAAAAGCCAGATGTTTGGGCAGTTTGCCAGATTGGCGCATTCACGTGTGTGTTAACACAATGCCAAGGAGAGGACGCCCCAGCAAATTCACTCCAAGGTCTGACTGCTCAGTGAAAGAAACTGCAAAAAACTCAAGAGCTACATCTCTGCAGGCCTGATGTGATACATCCGCACAAACACCCCATGCCAACTGTCAAGCACGGCGGTGGAGGTGTGATGATTTGGGTTTACTGCATTGTGCGTTGACTGAACTGCTCTGTATACCAAAGAACTCTACAGTCAGACTGAAATGCTGTAACAGGTCCTCAAAAGAGCTGTGAACAGAAATGTGCAAACCTCAATGAACTGAAATAATGCCGCAAACAAATTCCTCAACAATGATTTAGATGCTGATAAAGTCATACAGAAAATGATACTACCAGTGGTGGCTTTACAAGTTGCTGAATTATGGGGTAATTTCAGTTTTGGTTCCCATTTTCACAAGACTGTGAAGACTGTGACACCACAACTATAACTTTGGAGATGTTAAAGACTAAAACCTAATTACCAATGACATTTGGAGAGTTACTGCAGTTGGCTGACATAACAATGTGCCATCTTGTGGGTAGCTACAGAGTGTTTTTTAGACTAGTACATTAGCACAGTGAAGCTCTAGGATGAAGGTTAAATTTTCCTCCATAAATATACACAAGGATGCTCAGCAGGCAGAGATAAATGCCAGAGCTTGTGAAATTAGCCCATCCATAACACAAAGGATGTCAATAATATGCAGCTGTGTGGTTTGGATTACTTGCTGTGAAAAAGTTTTGATCCCAAGCTTCATGCCGACCCTGCCAAAGAGTCATTGGAGAACAATGTGAGCCCATCAGCTGCAGCATACACTGTCGGTTTCTAACTAATCCAGGTGATTGGACCTGGAAACAGGGTTGTTACCTCATCTAACCTAATAATTTAACAAGCAAATAAATATGAAATATTTTTTAAACTAAAACGCAGCAAAAGAGAGCAGACCTCTTAGATCCAGTGGAACCTATACATGGACAGTCAGAGCTTAAAAACCCTCTTTGGGGAAGAACAGCAGCTATTGTAACAGCAATTTGAACAAATTAGATACAATTACAGCCCATTAGACTTAGTTGAACAGAAACATTATCACTGTGTTAATCAATAAACCCTGTTTATGTGGCACATTACAACCATGAAATCAAATCAGATTTTTTAAAGCCTGTGTAAGCGCAATGTGTGACTTAACTGCAAAGGTTCACATCAGGCTGTGGTGTGTTGTTCTAACAGTACTATAAATCCAGCTTAACCAGTGAGCTGTGCTGGAAAAGCATTTTCTGTTGCTCTTCAATATAATTTGCTATAACATAAAAGTTTTTGTCCTGCCTTTGTGCTCCATCCTTCCTATCCAGCAAAACCAAAAAAGAAGAGGTTACCAATTAAGTTTGAATATTATATTTTGGTAATTGATTAAATCTTAAGACTCCTATATGAACGGAAATTTAATGAAATTCAATCAAGCAAATCTTTGTAAATAGAAACAAGAAAGAAAAGATTTTATGGCAATTCAAAAGATGAATGTTGCATCAAAAAAATAATCAGATCCCCTTGTGAATGTTTGCAGTGATTTGATTGACTGTTTAAACAACATTAACTCTTCAGTCTACTTACCAGCCCCTTTTCCCTCCTCAACTTGCTCCCCTTGTGCTTTTTTAAACATGAGTGATTGTTCGAGTATCGGGACAATTTATTCCATCGCGCCTGCCTTTGTCCAAGAAATTCAACTCCTGTTTGCTAATTGAGGGAACATTACATTATAACATTTTGTTAGTTCATTAGTGATGTGCAAGTCACCCTGCATGGATAATATGAGCTGAAGTGTGCATGTGTACATGTGCAGGGTATTACAGCACACCACCAGCGCCCTCTTAAGGCAGCAGAGGGCAATGACATGAGGTAGGTTTTGTCACAAGGCTTCGAAGATTTTAAGGGCACCACCTGCATGCTACATTCAATAGTCCAAACGCATCTGCACAGTAAATACAGCCCAGCGCATCCTGGCTCCCTCTGCATCGCCGGACTGTTATTGTTCTGGGTGTGTGACAGATGGCTCGGCGTGTGGATGCAAATTGTTTGAGGTGTCTTTTGTTTTTCTGCTGTGCCTGCAAATATGCAAACTAAGAGGGTTTTGCCATATTGTTGTTGTGTAATAGTGCTTCACAGTTTTGTTTTCGGTTTATGGTGGACAAAAATTTCAACACTGTTCCAACAAGAACGTCACTGACAACGCGGCAGAGTCGTGCCATGAGTCGGTCAAATGTTTGCTGGCATGTGTGGGATTGCCTTGTGTTACTTTTGTGAGGAAGATTCAGACTCAGCTAAATATGAAGTAGCACTTAAAAGATCCTTCACTGAAAGTACTCTTAGGTTTCTGTTACAAGGCTAGAAATGCTTAAATTACATCCATGCCTTCTGAAAAAGCTTTGCAAAGTTTATATGCAATTCAGGCTTCAAGTTTTCACATCACTCTCGTGTAAACTGGACCATGATTGGCTTCTAAACTGGATGTGATCTTAATAAAAATTCAAAAACATCCTGCTTGCATACACAAAAAAACCTTTGATTTTCACGGGACTTGATTTAGTTGCCTAAGTAAAGCAACATTAAGGTAAACGCTAGGGTATGACTCTTGAGAAATGAATTTAACACAATAAATAAGAAATAAATAACAAAGGCACATTAATCTGCTGATGATGATACCAAAAAATCATCTGGCTCAAGTCCTGAATTTGTTGATTTCCTGGGTTTGATTTGGGTCAACAAAACCACAGTTTATCAGACGTGTCACCTTCATTAAAGTCTCAACAGCTGCAGCTCAAACCTCACCCAAGTTTTGGTAAGATCGCTCCTTTGGGCCTGAAATCAAAGAAAAAGTGCAACTTACCAACATGCAGATGTCCATGGGCAGGTAGACTTTCCGTCGGCTGCTGTGATAAGGAGTCGCTCTCAGACATGTTATGATTCCCTGAGCTTTACCGATGTGACTCGCTGCGTGGTCCGCTTGGACATTTTTGACACCTGCAAAGAAAGACAGCCACACAGTTTGGCATCACCTACTATAATTCATTTTCACAGGTAAATCACACTCCTCACTTGAGGCAAAAAACAGGTTTTTGTTCTGGAAATAAAATGCTGTGTGGATCAAAACCATTAATTTTTTTTCGTAACACCAAAGTACACCAATTAAAGCATCTAAAACAGACTTTTCTCATTTTGAGGGGCCCAATCCTAACTATAGTCCTTTCACTTTGGATGTCTCCAATTCATAATCCAATCTGACACCTATAAATTTACTTCAGTGTTGATTAAATATGTATTTGGCACATTAGAGTAATAGCCACAGCCTTCTTCTAGCCTCCTGGCATATTTACTCACAATGTGACACAATTGGAGGGGTCTGCTGGTATTACAGAATGATGATTCCACCAGCACAAAACACCAGAAACAATATCTGGCAGGATACTGAATACAGAAAGAAGACAAAATGAACAACAGACCATTTATTTTGACCTATATTTAAGTTTTTAAATGGCTTAAATGGTGAAAAGCAGAATTTGTGCTGGCTAAAATGAAACTTGTGAATTTGCTAAGAGGGTTAGAAGAGCTGGCTTAGGCCGGCACAGCTGTCAGAGCAGAAACAATCACCGACCAGATAATTTTTCCCTTTTCACACTCTGTTAACTTTCACTCTCATATCCAGTGAAATGCTGCTGTGCAGAATCCGGCTGTGATTAAAGAAACCTGCAGCCACACGGGCACACTGAAGTGACAACACACAGCAGAGCTGAAAAAAGGAAACTACTGGATTTTGACTGGATTTGTTTCAGCAAACAATGACCCATAAAATATGGATGGATCTGCCCAGATAAAGGTCTTTAGGAGGGACTCGGGACACCCCTCAATTTATAATTACTGTTTGTCTTTTAGCTATCAACACAGTTTCTTACCTAAACACTCCAGCAGGAGGTAAATCAAGGATGACTGTGTGTTCTCTGAATACGCCTCCAGCTCCTGAAGGTTCCTGTAGGCTCTGTCATCCAAGTCCTTTTCCTGGTAAAACAAAGTTTTAATAACAGAAATGTCACTTTTCCCATTTTTAATTACGCTAAACAGCAGCTGGCAAGTTTAGTTTTTATTTCCATTAAAATAAGGCATTATTTAACCTCTAAGGGCACAGGATGCAACCGTCTGACAGGTCTTGTAGATAACCCACAAAGCGAAAATAATAAATGAAAATTGAAAAAAAGCAAAATATACACATGCAAAGACAAGTTTATATTGTCACATTTAAGCAGTTATTCGTGTTCAGTTTCACTCATCAGCAACTTCATTTATTATATCACAATTTAAACTTGCAGCAATTTGAATTTAATGATCATCTTAATTTTGTCTTACTCTCTCTGTTATGATCCTCAGCAGCCATCTCTTTGTCAGTTTGTGTGTCCTCACTGCCTGAAAAACACCACACAGACTGTTAATTAGCTGAGGTGCAACACTGATTCAGATTGGTGCCCCTCAGCTAATTGAAGCCGAGGGACAGAAACACAGAAATCCGACACACTGCATGGCACGTTTAAAACTGAAATAAGACATCCAACATCCTGACAGTGTTTCCCCTACATATTGCTAACATGAAGAAAAAACATCTTAAAATACCCTGTATTCTGTTGGCTAATATTTACCCTCCACAGCTCAGTGCTAACTGGTTGGTTCGGAGGCTCATCTCTGTAGATTTCTTCTATAGCCGTCTTCCAAAACTGCATTCGCATCAAACCAATGGTCTTTTGGGAAACAGAGTCCTTCACCTTGTAGAGAAACAAATGAGCAAAACAATTGGTTGACGAGCCAGTTTGAGAAGGACCTGAAATTAGCCACTGTAAGGTAAGGCGAGTTTATTTGTATTGCACAATTCAACAACAAGGTGATTCAAAGTGCTTTACAGAGACATTAGAAACAAAAACAAATAAAAAGCATGATTTAAAATTGATTAAAACAAGCAAGCAAACAAAAAAACAACAGTACATAAAATCAAAAATTAAAACAGATAAAATCTGAACAGTAGATAAAATCAGTAGTTAAAATGTAAGTTTTGAAATTTAAGCTTAAGTGTGGATTTGGTGCTTTATTTAAATGCAGCTGAGAATAAGTAAGTACTGTAAGGATTTCATTAAATTCCTTTCTTTTTTAATTTTAATTAAGAGGAAAGTCAGGATAGAGGATAGTCAGGAATAGTGGCGGTATAACAGTAGTATCAGCGGCAGTGACGCAAGTAGTAGAAAAACAGCAGTATTATCAGTAATCATTCTGCATTCAGCCTGATTGTACCAATACCTGCCTGTGCCAGCTCCACATTGAAGGCCCTCAGAGCCAGAGAAGAGCGCCGTGCCTTCTCTGGGAGGAGGAGAGAGGAAAGAAAACCATCATAGTCTCTGGACCTGAGGAGGAGAGAGAGAACGAGCTGATAGGGGAGCCGGGAAGCAGATGAGATTTCATGTTTTATCCAAAAAAATTTTCATACCCATATAACAAAATAGTCCCATTAACTTGCTACTTCTGTATAGCCTTTGACAACACTGTAATTTTGCATAAATTGGACAAGATAACTTCAAAAGCCACATTTTAAAACAAACACTTTAAAAATAATAATAAATAAATAGGAGATTAAACAAACCAATTCTCTTAAATATGTTCAAACAAAAATAAGTTCACATCAAACACAACCGAAAGAGCTTATTACCTCCAGTGAGTTTCTGACAGTTTTACTAAAAACTAAACAAAAGTACCTGCAAATAGGGATCCCAGGGAACAGTTTGGGATCCCAAAATATTAGGAAGTCTTAGTTGTTAGGGATCCTTTTAAGAAAAAAAATTCAAGTGACCCACCCATATTCCTACAAAATAATAGTATTTTGAAATGATTTTTTTTCTAAAACATTTGATCTGTAAGTTCTCATATAAGAGCTCAAGCAACGAATGTTAATCGGTGGAGAAAATAAGCGCACAATGTGTCTTTTTTTCTAGCACCATTTAGAAATTGGAATATTAGAGATCAGCTTTATAACATAGAAAAGAAAGTCAGCGCTGCAGATTTTGTTTAATCTTAGTGACGGACAATAACAATGATCATATACATACAACAAGGGGAGGTATGTGATCCTCGTGGCTTTTTTACAGCTGTTGTTTCCATTTTAGTTCATTTTTTGAAGATGTCATGATTTAAATTATGATCATATCAGTTCATAACAAGAATAGAACTGGTAGTTTCTCATTGCAAGCTTAAAAGGGCTTTGTTTTCACAGGCCTCATTGAACTGACCAGCAATGAGAACCAGAAAGTCCAAGGAATCCAGTGCAGATCTAAGGAGAAGTGTAGATTTACACAGGTTGGGGACGTCTCGTGGAGCCATTTCTAAACAACTGCAGATTCCAAGATCATTGGCTTAAAAAAATGTATGAAAGTACAAGTTATTCGGATTTGTCACCACTTGGCAAAGGTCTGGAAGAAGACCTAAACCAGGGGTCCCCAATCCCAGTCCGCAAGGGCCGGTGTCCCTGCAGGTTTTAGATATCACCCTGGGTCAACAAACCTGAATCACATGATTAGTTCATTACCAGGCCTCTGGAGAACTTCAAGACATGTTGAGAAGGTAATTTATCCATTTAAATCAGCTGTGATGGATTTAAACTGGGATTGGGGACCCCTGACCTAAACTGTCGCCCTCATATGAAAGGAAATTGCTTAACGATGTTCAAGAAACCCACTAAACACCAAGGCCCAACCCTGCCATCAGAATCAGAAAGACTTTATTTATCCCCAAGGGGCAATTAACATACAACAGAGCAGAGCGTTGAAGATAAGGGCAGGGCATAAACAGGCAATAAGAGTGAGATAATATGAATGAACTATAAACTGCTGGCGCATTAAAGAAATCATTAAAATGACATACAATTTATATTCATTTGAATAATTGGTGTATGTAAACTGTAGGTGTGCGATATTTGAAAGAAGTCTTGCATAGAGATGTGTCCCCACAAAACTTAAAAACTTTAGATTGCTTCTATTTATTTATTTTTTTCAATAACAGGACGAAGTTTCTTGCTATAAGTGACCGGATTATATCTGCTTTCTATAAACACAGATTAGCTAATTAACCACTAACCCAGTTTGTGTTGCTAGCAGTCAGACCCACCTAACCAGATCCAGGCAGTACTTTTGAGTGTGTTGTGAGTCTCCCGTCGTGCTGGTTGATGCCCTCACACTCTGTATTTCGGCTGCTCGCTGGATACAAACACTATAAGGTGATATTTTCCTCTGAAGACCATAAACCAGCCGGGCTTTGCTGCATAATAATCCATGTTTCACACTAACACCAGCCGCCATGTTCCCCTTTAGCGTGCACCCCGACCTTGTGTTACATCAAAATAGTTCACCGACCACCTTGAACCAGCAGATTTATTTATTTATCAATAAAATAGCCAGCGCCCGTGTTGTTAATTAATTTCCATTAAATATTTGAAATATAAAATATAAAAAATACATCTGATTTGTTAAATAGGTATAAAAGTCCTAATTCAATTGAACTGATTGTAGTTACCGGTGTTCCGGTAACACCACCGGATATGGCATGACTCTGCTGCCAAAATAAGAGCCGGTATCCTATACTCACATTTACCACAAATAGTTGATGATTAAAATAAGGGGAGATTCTGTTTGTTTTTGAATGATTTACGAACATATTGCAAAACAGACGTGAAATAACTTTCATATCTATTCTTCTGACAACGATGTGCCACATAGCAACCATTATTTTGAAATTTAGCAGGAAAAGGAGTTTGCCGTGTGTTTTCTGCTGGCTTTGATAAGGATGTGGGATCCACAGGAGGAGACAGGAGTTTGACAGGCTAATTTTCCTCTTCATATGGCAACAGAGTCGGTGAAATGTACGTGTGTCTGGCTGCTGTTGTGGCTCTGTGTCCGGCTGTCCCAGACCACAAATACCCGGTAAGGCGCTACTTCCTGGTTGAGCTAACTGTTATATATAGTCAACTGCTAACTAACTGTTGTTAGCCAAGAATAAAGATTAAAAGAAACGTGTCTTCTTCATTTTCTTTTTCTGGTAAAATAAAAAATCACTTGAGGTAGGTGGCTGACGATATTTCGGGATGAAGTTGACTTAATGTGCAGTGTTTAATTACCTACACGTCAGCATACAAACTTAGGTAAAGTCACTTGCCAGCTGTTGGGTAACAGTGTCCAATGTTTAAAGTCTTATCAGAAGAGTCCAGAGTTCACTATTCACTCTTGCGGTTATTCACTAGTAACCGCAAATACAGTACGTAATTTAATGTGCTTATTTAAATACATCTAATAATAAATAATAACAGCATTAACAAACACGTGTAAGTCATTTGTGGTTGGCTCGATTGAATGTCTTCTCACTAACTAACAGTGTTCTTTACACTTAACTTTTCCCGTGTTTCTGTGATTGCAACTGTACATAATATTTATTTAACCCAAACTTTTGGTCACAAGACGAGCCGTCACGTTTTTGGTTTCATTTAACACGGAAGTTGACGGTTGGAGAAAATGTTGACGCAGTTGGATTTATTGGCCGCAAGACGGCGCTGATGTATTATAAACTTGAAACTTAAATTGGATCAGTTTTGATATTTGACAGTAGCAAGTAAAGCCTAAATGTCATTCTTTTAGCCAGAAACGTTATGACTTCTCCTAAAATTAACCAAAATACACAAAAATTACAATAATTTAAGGTTTTGTGCTATTATACAGGTGCTACAAATTTTTGTACACAGAGGCTCACCACTCTTTGAATAAATGTGGGTCAGTTTGACCCATATCTATTCAGATGGTTTTTAGATTCACCAATCATGTATGTGTATTTTTTTTTTTTTTTTTTTATGGGACAGCAGTTACAGAGGTTGAGGGAAAAAACTTGACAGGCTCTGAGCTTTCTCTTGGTAGCCTAGCTTCTTTCCACTGTCTAAATGCATGTGTGTCTGAATAAGTAGGAATTCTGTACTGACAGGCACATGAAGTGTATGTATTAAAGTGTTATATAAATGTATAGTTAAAAGTGTGACTTGTTGTTAGAAGATCTTTGAGGTCAGTTAGACTACAAAAGTACAATATAAATTCAAGTACATTACGAGTCCGTCAGCGCTGACAGGCGCAAAGCACAAGAACTCACAATGTAAGAAAATATACAAACAAAATATAAGCCAGTATTCTACACCTAATGAGATGAAACTAACTCAGAACAGCTGAGATTAAACACTCTCTGAAATGGAACCCCCTTTGCTTTGAATTGCAATTTGCAATAAGAAAGTTGTATATTCTATATGTTAATATTGATAATTAAGAGGTAAAGGATTGTGTTTAGTGGTTTCAGTGGTTATATATTGGTTATACAATAAATCCTAGTAGTTCTAAACATTCCTAGCACAGCTCAACTGGTATTATGAATACACTATTATTATTATTAAAGATATCTGCAAGAAATAGTTAAATAATATTATTAGAGTTTCAGTTAAATACAGCAAAGGAACAGCACTAGTGGAGGTTACAAATTATTTTCCTATGCTTCGGGCAGTGGACTCTGTTTGCCCTGTTAGACTTAACTGCAGCATCCACTGACCGCAATGTTTTACTACAGAGATTAGAACATACTGCTGTTATTAAAAAGAAACTGCACTGGAATGGTTTGAAACATATCTATGTGCAGTACTATCCATACATGCTTGTAATACTGCATACATAATCTTTGCTATGCAGTTGATACCCAGCTATATTTATCTGTGAAGCCAGATAACACATTTAAGCTACAGGCACGTCTTAAATACATAAACATCTGGATGTCCTGTAATTTTCTTTTCCTAAATTCAGAGAGAACTGATGTAATTAACCAGATACTCACCTAGCAACACTGTGAGAAATCTTATTGCCAGGATATCTCCTTCAGTGCTCACATTAAACAAATGTGTAGGTCTTCCTTTTTCATGTAAGCAATATCTCTAAAATTAGAGACATCCTGCCTCAGTGTTAAGCTGAAAACTAGTTAATAGATTCTAGGTTGGACTAGCTTTTTTTCTCTTCTCTTCCCCAAGTGGTCGTGGGGTTTTTCCTTTCCACGATCTCAAAGTGTTTGCTGATAGGTGGTCGCTTGAATGTTAGGGTTTTCTCCTAAATACTGCAGGACCTTTACCTTATAGTATAAAACAACTTGATGTTATTGTGCATTGACACTATAAAACACACCTTAATGAAGAAACTAGTGGTAGATGTTAGGAGGTCCAAACAGGTGGTTTGAGAAAGAACATTTATGGCCCTTTTAGTGGAAAAAATACTGGCTACAGCAAAAGTTCTCAGTAGGGAGGGTTCATTTCAGCCAGGTTGCTTCACATACAAACTCAAATGGTGGAAAAACTGCCAGCTGGCCAGTGACATCGTTTTTATTGGCTCTGGGCCATCAGGCTATTGGTTTCATTGAAACCTGAATAAAAAAATATAGTAAAAAGAACCAAAATATTCTTACTGGGCAGTGGGCATACATACAAGTTATTTGTTTTGTGTATATATACTTCAGAATATAAGAATTCTAAGAAACCAAATTAAGGAGTAAGAGTTTAACATTCAAATAATAATGGGATCTTTGAAGATTTAGGAAAAAAACAGGCTGCGCATGGACTATTTTTGCATGACCCTGAGCAGAAACCACAACTCAGCACTTTTGAAAACACATTCCTTCATGTGATGAAACTGTGATTTGACCAGCTAAGGCTGTGATGAAATTTTCTCCATTAAAATATGTTCTCAAATCAAATCAAATCAAATCAAATCACTTTTATTGTCACATCGCATGTGCAGGCACACTGGCACAGCACATGCGAGTGAAATTCTTGTGTGCGAGCCCACAAGCAACAGAAATGTGCAAACACAACAACACAAACCAGCTCTCACATGATTTATTTGTTTAAAGATTAACACGCAAATGCGTTTTTATTTCCACAGCGTCCCTAAGGGGAAGGGGTTTTTGTAGCTCTTATTTTTGGAGATGTGGGAATGTTTTTCTTCCTCACAGAGAGCCAATGGGACACACTGAGCTACTAAAGGGTTTATTGACATTACATGTTGGTGCAGTGGATATCAGGATTTGTTATTTTTGTTGCTTTAATTTTTCTAGCGAAACTGCTGCATCTAATATTAGTCGAGGTGTCTGTTTTTAACGCATATTTGTTGGCTACTAACTAATGATTACTAATGATTTCAATCATTTTATTTTTTTTATTATTATTGTTTTGGTTATAAAAGCATGGAGCCCCTTGTAATCTCAAAGAACCCATAGTAATTTTCAATTTGCTGGCATTGATCAAAAAACTGTCCAGAATAATATGATATGTGATAGGTTGGCAGTATATGACAAAGCAAAGCACCAGAGCTTTGTTGTGAGAAGCTGGAACTAGAAAATGTTTGGCATTTCTGCACAAAAACGTACACAAAGATTCAGTTATGTCTTTAGATCAATGAAGGGATTAACAGGTCCGTTCATTTATCTGGCTTTTTCCCCAGTAAAACCTTTTTCAGTCTCCAGACAGTCTTGAAAGAATTGTGATGGAACATTGTCCAACTATCTACTAAGTTCACTTGAGAAATGTTATTTCTACATTGGCCTTTGTGTAGAGACAGGGTGTTTCCTTTGTCTGTCTATAGGTAGAGTTCTAATATACAAACACTTGGGTGCAACTTGGAACCAAAGGCACACCCACACACACATAAAATGTTTTTGCATGCAACACCTGCCACAGGTGGCACTTTCTAATTGACTTTTGTCACTTTCAATTAAGACCAACAACTCTTCTCTCGTTGCAGAGAGTCTATGGACGATGACATCCTGCTGCCCTACACACAAGGCCACGGCCCCTCCCACTCTCATCGCTATGTCAGGGATTGTCAGCCCATCATTCATGGCAACACCACCTATGAGAGCTGGGCCTCCAGTAACCGCAGCGGGCAGCCGGTTGCTGAGACCAAGTTGTTTGTGTCGAATATTCCGGGGAGCTCCAGAATTGTTTATGGTTAGTGATGACATCATAAGTTAAAGGAACAAAAAATAATATCAATCTCTGGTGTTTGATTTATTGATCCCTCTTTTTACTTCTGTACTTGCCCACCTTCATCTCAAAGTGTTGGCAAGAATCCTTTATTATATATCACTGAAGATTCAATTTCACCTCATCCTGCTGCGGCTTTCTTACCAGGACACATGACAGTGGTCAACGACCCCCTGAGGACGGTGTCCGTGTTGGAGCCAGGGGGGCCAGGCAGCTGCGAAATGAGAGTGAGGGCAACAGTACGAGAGACGGCTGAAGCGGCTGAGTGCCTGTATGCGCAAAATGCTGGTTTCTTCAATACAGTAACAAGGGAGTGTCTGGGAAACGTTGTGAGCAACGGCAGGGTGGTGCGGGACAGTGGAGGACTGCAAAATGCCCAGTTTGGAATCAGAAAAGACGGCAGCCTAGTGTTTGGGTAAGAAATGCGGCTTGAAAATGTAAAACAGAGAAAT